CAATTCAAGACTTTTCATTGGCTTAGCCATTATGGTATATCAGCCATTAGTATATGCTAAAATAGTGGATAGCGTTGAAGGCGCGCTCTGATTGGCTAGTCAAACTCCGAATATCCGTTGCTATTTACCTCCGAGTAACTCGGGAAAAAATGGCGCCCCGGTTTGCATTCGTGACAAGCGAAGAAATCACTCAAATTAACGACGGTGGTGTATATTATCTCACTGCTTTAGTACATACTAAAACAACTATTCACCTCAGTGTCGGTGGTTAGCGGTGGATATTAACCTCACCGCTTCGCGGCTCGGTAAATATCCATCACTAACCACCTCCACTTCGGTGAATAGTTGTTAAATATACCATAATCTACAAATATGGTAAGCGCACGCGTCAGCTTAAAATTAAAAGGGAGCTAAAAAATTGAATAAAATTGAATAATTTAATTTAACGTTTTTAATAAAACAATTATTCGACGAGTGCGCGTTTGTTGGATATGAGATGATTATAGCCAACTCGGCGCTACACGCCTCGTTGGCTATCTATCATCTCATATCCAACGCGCACTCGTGGAATAATTGTTAAATACATAATGAATGGAAAGACTTACCTCTGATCGATTCTCTTGCATGGTTCTTGTAATCTTATCCTGCCTGGCCGAGGCCTAGATGAAAGTAGAAAGTGATGTGATTAGCATTTCCTCATGGTAGACTCTTTTGACTCGTCGTATAGACATTTTACACTGTATTATCACACCGCTCGTTTCAGCAACTTAATAGTGGCTCTGAGAAACGGTTGCACTCGACTTGAAGAGGGGAGGGGAGGCGCAACAACATCTCCAATCTGGATATTTACATTTTCATGAATATGACTTCTTGGGGATAAAAATCTTACTTTGCTGTACGAAAAAGAAAAAGGAATTACCTTAAGCTCCAACTCAAATTCTCTGGTATCAATCTCATTCTGAAAAGAGAACCAAGAGGCTGAGTACCGGTGAATATTAAATAAAGAGCACAAAAATCATGTTCAGGTTAATGGGGGGAATATTTGCTCTCTGACCCTACAAACACGGTCTTTGAGCCGACTCTGGCGATCACCCCATGTTTTAGATATGTTCTTGTTTCAACAGGCCAAAATAAAGAGAGCAACAAGTGAGCGTTATTGAGAAATATACGTGAAAAAATGGCCGACTGTATGTACCTCTAGTTTGAGAATGGTTTCCTCCAATGCCTTCTTCGTTGATCTCAATTCAGAACGTTCTTTAGAAATCTGTGTGAAGAAAAAGGCCATTAAATATAAGAAAATCAACTAAATCGAACGAGGCGAGGCTTGAATTTAGTGATAATGATAATGTAAAAAGGACTAACTTGTCAAAATTTCAGGACATGTCAGCAAGCGCCATCATACAGCTCGCGGAGCCAAAGACCCAAGTGATTTAGAGGAGTGCACACGAGATGGGAGCCGTTCACGCGCCAATGTTCTTATCAAGCAAGAGCCAAGAGGCAGCTTCGCTTAAGAAACCTACAATCAATTCCTACCAGCCCTTTGACTCAATGAGATCCACCAACCACCTACCTCATTCAATTGCTTCTCGAGTTCTTGCACCCTTCGATCCATGTCTTTTGCAAGCTAACGGTTTAAATCACAAGAAAAAAATCTTTTGTGACTGTCATTTCCATTCCGTATAAAATCCTTTCTCCCGCTCCCCCCCACTACAACTCTTGGCGGCTAAACTCAGCTCAACATCGAACTGCTCTAACAATAGTAAAGAGTTATGTCGGTGTGACACTTGAAGCGCGTATTTTTTCCAATATTAAACTTATCCTCTCTAACCTGATTATATCAAAGAAAAAAAACAAGTCTGGACAGAGATTGTTAACAAGAACTCAACGATGAAGGTAATCTTCTGTCCTGTATTGAAATTTTTACTATTGCGCAAGCCTGTGGGCTCGTTCAGTAGTGGTTGTGCTGACACTTGGTGTGTTTGCACTAGGCAAACCATTCTGCATAAGACGTGAAAAGCCGGGAGTTTCGTGATCAAACTTCTCTTTTTCTTACCTTTCTCGAGTTCTGTTCTGAATCTTCAAGCTGCTTCACGAGTGAGGAATTTTTCTGAAAACCAGTCGCAAGAAAAACAGTTTCAGCGATGCACAAAAAAGATAAACTTGCAATAAGCATCACTCGCCGGTACCTGCTGTTGAATTTTTAGGTCACTCTCTAGCCCGGCCAACTTTCTCGTCATCACCTCTTTCTCTTCGCATAACTTTTCCAATTCTGCTTCATTAATTGCTCTAAAGGGGGAAATGGCAGAAGTTACATAAAACGACCCGATTCTTTAATAAAACCATGCAATGTGCCACAGTCAAGACGTTGTTGTCTATTGGGGCGTAAGAAGGATTTAGAATAAAAGTTAGGTTAGAAGGACCCACACAAGCGTCACACTGGCATTTGGGAAGCATGTCATTACTTGTTACTATTTCCTTTTGCCCCATAAGACCACACCTAACTACCCCTCCCCCAGCTCAATTGATTTCAACACGAAAAAAATATCGATTTTAAAAGATAATAGTTCGGTTTCGTTTTGATGAACACAGCGTGTTTAGAAACCACTACGGTATATGAGTTAAGGGATTCGCTCTGAGAGGAGTTGAAAGACCAGTCAACAAAGTTAATGACCACAAGTTAAACGGATTCTTCTGGTTAGCGATTATTGTCACAAGTTGCAACTTCGTTGCAGTTCACATTCAGGAGTTCTTGAGCATTTAGGTGGCTGCCGTTCCTTGGCATTTCCGAACGTTTTCGAAGCGGACCTTTTCCAGCGTTCCACTAACACCAATCCTCCCTCTTTTCCTCCCACTGCTGTAATCAGTGTTGGCAGGTACTTCTGGATTTTGTCAGCCATAGGAGCAGTATACCATCAGGGAGCTAGCTAACTTCAAAGGAAACACCTACATATACCGAGAACCCATCTTTTATTCAAGCGAGGTGGCGATTGCACAAAGTCTCTACTTACAATTTTCCATTGTTGTCATAATCGGCTTCTGAGCTTCTTCTGCTGTAGTCAACGTTCTTTTCGAGCATTTCCTCTAATATCCGGCACTTTTCCGTCAAGGTGTCGATTTTCTTGAGATAACATAAAATCATACACAAATTAGTTAGCAACTCCCTTTTGCAGTAGAAAAGAGAAAAATAGAGCAAACATTGTACCTCCATAAGCCCTGTCATTTGCTCTAATCGTCCCTCAACCGTGAGAAAAGTATAAAAATAGTGTTCCTTTACTTCGTACCACACCTGTAGAAGCCTGTAAACCGGGCCTCACCCTTTTTTGTGTTTTTCAGGCAAACATATAGACCACTTTCATAAATGGCTGCCGGATTAATATTCTTTTGTTTAAATTTAAATTAGCCCTTCTGGCCTCGTTCTCCAGTACAAAATTCAAAAGAATACATTATTTCAAGCGAGGCCAGAAGGGCTAATTTAAATTTAAGGGTATATGACACGAAATTTTTTTTTTCGTTGATAGCTAGTTCCATGTGTATAATAAACGGTTTGAGAGTTTAAAATGAATGAAACAAATTTTTTGGTCGATTTTTAGCGCCCGAAACACGCAAAATTTTTTAATTATAGACTAGTGAGCAGCACTTCTGCGAACAGTAGTTGTAAAACTTGTTGTATTTTCCTACGCGTTTCGTCTAACTGTCGTAGACTTCTTCAGGGAGTTTTACAAGTGTGACTAAACGCCTGTATTTATAAGCCAAAGTTACAGGGGCCGATGACCGTAAAGGCTTGGCCGGACTTACGAACAGGAACAGGCGAAGTTGTGAAAAATTTGTGAAAAATTTAACACGTGTAAGGCTAGGTGAGAAAAATATTTTGGGGGCCGCGGTTTTAGCCTTTACGGTCATCGGGCCCTGTAACTTTGGCTTATAAATACAGGCGTTTAGTCACTTGTAAAACTCCCTGAAGAAGTCTAAGACAGTTAGACGAAACGCGTAGGAAAATACAAGAAGTTTACAACTACTGTTCGCAGAAGTGCTGCTCACTAGTCTATGATTAAAAAAAGAATATTAATCCGGCAGCCATTCTTGAAAGTGGTCTTGGGAAGGGACTAGGCAAGGACGAGAGGCGAAGCTCCTTCTCCCCGTTCGCTCAAAGAAAATACCTGTTCTTCAGATTATGTGTTGCTGTATTTGAGGAGGCTACAGGAAAACAAAGAGGCTTCACTGACCTGATCTCGTGAAGCCATTAGCTTTTTCGTTTCCTCCAGCTCACTCTCAAGTCGACAGTTGGTATTTTCCATCTTTCTCTTGTATCGTGATAATATATCAAGTTCTTTCTCCATTTCCTGGTTATATTGGAAAGGTTAGTTTTGGTTTGGATAGTATTGACAGTGGGAGATGCGCTTATCCAATGTTAAGCGCTAGACTCTAAATCGAAGGGTCTGGGACCGAGACCTGGCTGGCTCATTGGGTTGTGTTCTCGGGCAAGACCCTTTAACTCCCAATGTCTCTCTCTCCACCCAGTAATATCATTGGGTTCCCGGAAACTTTCAGGAAATCTTCATAAATTGCTGAAGGGTAATTTGCAATGGCCCAGCATCCGTTGTAGGAGGAGTAGCAATCTCAATGCTCATAGTTGCTGCACGCTAATGAAAGCACCATATGATCCAGCGGAAAAGGGTGAGTAGGCTCATAACACTTACACTAACCACGACACTTACCAACAATACAACCAAACAATTCGGGCGATTTTTTGGGAACCCGCCACACAAATTACAATACAGATTAAAGTAAAGTTACTTGTAGTCTTCTCTCCTGAGCCTGGCTGTTTGCAGCTTCCTTTTCAAGCTTCTTCTGTGATCTTTGGCTTTGAAACAATTGATCCTCTAAGTCCTGCAGGAGTGAGAAAATAAACTCATCGCACACAACTCCTTTTTTCACCATTAGGAAATAAACATACCAACAATCAAAAGTGAACTTCGAAAGTACACGAAAATGTCTTTGAGACATTAATACTAAAGAATGCCAGGTGTTGATTTTACCAAAATATTATTTGAACACTCTCAATTCACCTAACTAGGGTTTCAATGACTATGGAGTGAGCAACTTAGCGTGACTTGATGAAAACCAACTGATGTCGATCTCCCGATATAAGCCTACTAACAAGGCTGGCCCGTTTAACCTAAAAAAAGTGGAGTTAAGTTCATAAAGGAATGTTCATTTTGGAGCAGAGCGAGCTGAGTTTCCAGTCTGTTCCAGTCTGCTTCATCCTTCAAGTTTTGTCCCGATTATTGGGAAGTTGAAGAATTAAGGGAAACCTTCAACCCGATTTCCGAGATCTCAGTAACTGGTTTTGGCCAGCGCGAATGAACAAATCGAAATTGTGAAAATCAAGCCAGGTTAGTTGACCGGGTTTACTCCATTTCTCTGGAAGATTCCAATCAGGCGGGCTATTGACCAGTCTCCACTTACCATGATCTTACTTTGAAGCTTACGTACTTCAGCCGATTTTTCTCTAAACCGCTCTCGCACACTGTTATCGTCGCCTCCTGTCCGCTTGATTTGAGCATCTCTGCACAACTACGAAAAAATAAATTACTTAATTGTTTATCCGATTGTCCATGCGCTCAAGATGGCAACGGTCACAACGTTAGAGTTATTCGGTTTCAATCATTCCGTACACCACTGCGCGGTGAAGGAGAAACGAAAACACAAGTTTGGGAAGAAGAATTTAGTCTCGTATTGATTGGGAAGAAAACAGATACTTTCAAAAACGCTCTATTGTGACGAGGGCTTGGTATTGCTATACTAGCTAGTTAGCTGTACTAAATGGTAATTTTCTCTTCTATCTCTCTACCATGTTGCGTTAAACGCTATGTTGTGGGGATCGAGGGCTTGGTATTGCTACGAACTAACAACCTAACTAACTAATCGTACTGAATGGTATTTTTCTCTTCTATCTCTTTACCACGATGCGTTTAAATATCTCCTCTGCTAACTCTTCTTTGTACTTTAGTCCTATAACTGCACTGTCTGATCTCCTTGTTGGCGTAAAAGGCTGAGAGTAACAAATAAACAAGTAAAATAGTTTAATGAAGAAGTTAAAAAATGCTGAATAAGTGAGAGAAAAAGACACCTCAGCGGTAAGAGATTCACGGATTCACGGATTCAACGCTTTCGAAGCAAACCTTTCAGTCAAGAGCCCGCATGGACGATGTTCACCGAACAGCACTTTTCGCGGGTAGAGAAAATGATCAAACGACTAATATTAAAACCTTAAGGGCACTTACTGAAGCATGTATACCGACAGCCACAAAGATGTGATGTCGGGGAAAAGAATAAAACTTACCTTCCCTTGCACTTCTGCGGAGTCCGATGGCTTGCTTGACTTCTACAAAAGTTGAATTGCGCCAAAATTAGAGTTAACTGCTTGTGTTAATGTAAAAGAACGCCATGCAAAGAAAACCAGTTTTACGTTGTGATAACTTTAAGAAACCTTAAAGAAAAGGAATATCGTGATCATAAATACGAGTTACCACGATGAAAGCATTTCTAGTTTATTACAAACCTTCAGCTTTTCGAGTTCTGTTTGTAGTTCGTCTTTATTCTTCCGCACGTTTTCTAACAATTCAGTCGCCTCCTGGTTTGACTGTAGAGACTGAAAAAGAACACTTCCGCAATCAGATTCATGTGTTGCATATCTTCCTTGTTTCACTACAAGGATCAATTTTGAAATTCCAGTCCTTTTTTTTATTGGCTCACTTTTTTCAGAGCTCTAGAGAGCAGGCGACTCGCGCATGAGAAAACTGACGCTGACAGTTCGCGCGTGACTATGTGTTCGCACGAGCCGGTGTACATCACTTGCGCTCAGTTCAACGCCCCTTTACTCACGCTAAGAAAATTGTTATAAGTGCATGGCTTACCTTTGTTAACTTCTGTTGCAGTTCCGCGATTCTTTGGTTGCTGTCCTTAGTAACTTTGTCCAGTTTCTCTTGCCATACCATCATGCTCCTCTTTGCTTCTTCATTCATCTTGAAATAGAGAATTGGTATGAACTAACATCATAAGAAGATGGTGTAGGGTATTTGTGTCTAACGTGCAAAAGGGGTTGGTGAAGGCGTTTAGCACTGATGGAGAATCAAAATGAAAACTTAGATTTTATTTTGCACGTAAAAACGCGTGCGTAACTGTCTGTGGGGTTTTATCTTACTACTTGGCAAGAGAGACCAAACGTGACCCATAAAATCGTTTACAACGCTTAAAAAAAGGTCTTACAAACCAAATGCACAACTGCACTTGTGCCTCTAACAACGGCCGACGGATAAACAGACCTAACCCCTCCCTTAGTATTCACCGCAGACACATTGTACGGTTATTTTTATTTATCCTATCCTGACTCAGTTAAGGTGGTAACATTGAAGAGACTTGGTGGCCGGTTAAGTTTCTGATTATAACGCAACGTTCACCGAACAAGTAAACAGAGTTAATTTTACTACTTCTGTTGACCTTTAGATATGGAATGACATCATACGTGGAAGCAATATTTCACCAACGGTCGGCGAAAATCTAGACTCAGAAAACTGGAGGGAAAACAAACTGCTTCTGAAGTGAGTCTAAGTTGTTTTGACACAGAGAGTAACTCAGTGTGCACAGAATAACAAGAAGGCGACGTTACCTTTGTCATTCTGGCTTGATGGTCGTTGATTCGGTTCTTGCTGACTTCAAGAAGCTGTTAGGTAAACAGATTCAATGATTCATGTTTTGAATGCTGACGTTTCACATCATTCACGATCTTTTTAAAATAAGGGATATCGAACATTTTGCGATACTACTGAAACGTGACGTTCTCTAAACAGTATGTTACACGCAAGGTTAACTACATCAAAGTACAGCAACGGTAAAATATCAAATTGGAAAAAAAATACATCATTTCGGACAAGAAGCTGGTGGCCAACCTGGGGGATTATCGTTGGTCTACAACCGGCTACAGTTCACTAAGGAGAGAATTTATTTATTCCTATTGATCTTGTGTACTGAAGAGTTTCTTCTAAAAAAAACACTATTTTTACTATCCCTTTACCTTTTCCTGTGATTTCAGCTCCTCCTCCAGTCGTTGGGCGCGTCTACTGGCTATAAAACGATCGTTTTCCAACTGGGCTACAATCTGTTGAAGGTCCTCGAGATTCTCTCTGCGTATTGAATTCAAACCAGAACATAACGGCACGTGTTTTTGTTGAAGATCAAGCATTTTGTTCAAGATTTTCCGGCTCTCTAAATTAATTCACCATTTGTCCAACACTTCTAAATGGGTATTTATCCATTTAGTGTTCTTTCTTTTACAATTAAAGCTAACCTGCTTTCCTGGTCCCTCAAATCATTGGCTTTTTGGCTGTCTTCTTTCAGTTCCGATAGCAGTTTAAGAGTAGCAGAGTCAGACTTGTTTCGTTCAGCTCTTTCCAGATCAAGACGTCTCTGTAGGTCCTGTTATGGCCAAACGTAATGATGATAGAAAGCACACGAAATCAGACAAAATCAGCTACATTTAAAGGTTACAATTTGTGAATTCAAACGGTGGCATAATAGGGATATTTATGTAGCAAAAAGGGTACGAGACACTAACAAGTAAATCATCAGACCACAGTATGAAGACATTGCACTCCTTAATGGGGTCTACAAGTGGGTCGCACAAGTTCATATATAAAATCCCCCAAAAATGGACTAGAATTATACAGGGCTCGACACTAACTTTTTAACTTACAAGCCAAGTGGCTAGTGACACCTTAGATGTTACGACAATTTCAGTTTGTTTACTAGCCAAACTGGCCAGTGGAAATCGAAAACCAGTAGCCAAAACTGAATTTCTACTACTCTGTGGCTAGTTGGCTACCGTTAGTATCGAGCCCTGACGGAGTCATTTGATGGAGGCCGTATAAGAAACGGTTCTTTCAGAGCCATCACAACTGCTCTTTTCAGAGCCACCAGATCTAAAAAAGTCAATGACCAGTAATTAATGTCCATGTCTTGTCTTCTTGTGTTTTTAGCTATAAGTTCTGCTACAACTGTAATCTTAAGATTTAGTTGCGCAAAAAATACTTGGCTGTAAGACGCACCCCAACTTACTGAACTTCTATGGAATTTAAAGTAACTCCGTAAATCTTGAAGCTAAGCTAAATTTAAAAATTACATTTCTAACAAATCTAAGACTTGATACTGAGAAGCGATAACTGTTAGAACCTGTTGATACCGTTTAAACAAATGTAACTACTCTTCTGTAGTGCTTACCTTGACTTGTGTATCATAGAGAACCTTTTCCTTTTCAAGCAGATCTCTTTCATACTCAGCGTTCCTCAGTGCTTTTTCTTTCTGTTCTAACGCAGTTTGAACTTCTTCCAAGCTCTTTTTCATAGAGACACTTTCTCCTTTCAAAGTATGACATGACTGTAGCGCATCCTTCAGTTCTTTAGCTTTGATAGTCAGTTTTCGTTCCAGACGACTCGGGGGCATGCCAGATGACATGGGTGAGTTAGGAAGGCTTCCGGCTCTGTATGTAAAAAGGAAACAGATTTACGTAGGTGTATGTGGGAAAAAAACAAACTAAGATCATTAGATAAAAATACGCGTACATATACTTTTGATTGCAATTACAGTTATGTAATTGAAAAACGCGAGAAAGTAACGTTTAAACTGAAAAGTTGGATCGCGCCAAAAGATAATTGTATGGCAAAATCTATGTTGCTTTTCCTCACCGCACAAACTGCTAACTGATCACTGTTATGCACTCACACTTAAATCGCGACAAAATCAACGACTTTGCGACAGACTTGAACCAGCAGTCGTTAGTCAAGTCTTGCAGAAACTACGGAATCAAACGCGGCGTTGACCGATTCTGACACACAAGACATGGGTGGGAGGAATTTTTCTTCAGCTCACGTTCGTTTTTTTTCCTCTTCTTTTTAATACTTTCATTTTTGACTGTTAAATTTTCACCTTCTTTGCATCTCGAACACCGGTTTGGTTCGAATTTCTAGCTTTGTCGAGAAAGTAAGGTACACGTAATATTGTGCGCCGCAGGAAAAAACAGTTTGAGGAAGGAACGGATCGGAAGCAAGGTGCAAAATGAAATACAAAAAGGCAATTCCGGCTGCATGAATATTCATACTCTTTTAATTGATCTTCAAAAGCAGGCTTTACTTACTTCCTAGGAGAGAAAGGAACACTGTTGGCTAGATTTCTTGAGAAAGTGAAGCCGACAAATGGAAGATCTTTGCCTGTGAATCCCTTGCTGTCGTTTGTTAAGTTATATTTTTCCAAGTGTGCAATGACATCAGGGCTCTCAGGTTCAAATTCATCAAAATGTGACGTGTCTGCTGCACCATCCAGGTTTGGGACGTACGGTGGCACGGCTACAGTACATAATTTAAACTGTATGAACACTAGTCATATTGGCATGGACCATTTTATAGAATGGGTTTAAGAGAAAGACAATTAAATTTTTTAGCTCTGTCCTCCCATTTTGTAGGTTTGTTTGTTTTTTGGTTCCACTGTAAGTAACTAATTTTGCCTTGAAAAATACAGAATATCAAAATTTTTTAGTCCTGCGACTGGAGAGGTACATAATGAGTCCAGGATAGGAAGGATAGCAGGACACTCTGGGCCTTGTTTTACTCGACAGTCCGACACATACCACTGCATGGCCTGATTTTACTTGAGTGGCCCCTTTTTATTTGTGTGTGTATGCATTTTATTTTTCTTGATCTAAACTCCTACCTCCTCTCTCTCAGAAATACTTTGGTAAAGTATGAAATGTCAAAATGCACCTGTCACTTTCTCAAACTCCAGAATGGATTAAGATACAGTGTAAGACCCACTACAAAAGCTACTGTTGAATTTCTGCAAAGTTTTATCCACAAGTATCCAAAAGTATACCGTAGATCAAAGTTTGACTTACTCTCTTGTAAACTGTTCCACTCAATGCCACTAAAGAACTGGTGACAAAGAAGTCCTTCATAAGCCATTCTTGATTTGCAATCAGTGCACAATTTTAGAATCAAATCCCTTGTATTTTTGCTGACTTGGGCATCCTTAGAAAACTGCAGGGATGTCTAGAAAAACAGCAAATTGAGAAACCCAAAGGTTGGTTGAATATAGTTTGTAGCTAAGCAAACAAATATAAGTACAAAATAAATGGTTTAAAATAATTTAATAAAAATAATAATAGTAATAATAATAATAATAATAATAATAATAATAATAATAATAATAATAAATCTACTACAGTAGGGCTGGAAACATATCTGAGAAACACTGATGACATTCTGCTCCAACTAGTCCTTCAACATGAGACCAAAAAGAAGCTTTACTCCATCCTAAAAGAGGCAGAGAAATTTAAAAGAGAATTTGGGGTACCAAACCTCAAGAGGGAAGCAAATGAATGAATTGCTAAGTTTGGTAGGAAAGTAAAACAGAAGGTAAAGCAGCAGGCCCAAGATATAGAAATGAAGCAATGGGAAGAAAAAGAACTGCATGGAAGACACCCCAAAAGATTAAAGGGAAACAGATGTTGATGATTATAAAACCAATCAGTGGCTCAGAAGTACGGGACTGAAAGCTGAGACAGAGGGACTGATAATTGCAGCCCAGGACCAAAGCCTCCCTACCAAGTCCTATTTTGAAAGGATTGTTCAAGACGGTAGCAGTCCACTAAGCAGAATATGCCACAAGCACCACGAAACGGTAGATCACATCATATCTGGCTGCCAGGAACTCGCAAAAACTGATTATCTAGAGAGGCACAATTAGGCAGCTGCATATATTCATTGGAAGGCGTGCCAGCATTACAATGTTGAAGTCCCAGACAGGTGGTAGGAACATAAACCCGAGACAGTTACCGAAAACGAATAGGTCACAATTCTCTGGGATATGCAGATGCATACTGATAGGGAACTGTCAGCGAATAAGCTTGATATAGTGATGAAGGACCATGCCAACCCATGTGGCAAACTTATTGATGTACCGGTACCATCCGACAGAAACACCTCAACGAAAGTCATGGAGAAGCTTTCAAAATACAAAGATCTTGAGATTCAAATCGCAAGAATGTGGGGAATGAGAACAGAGACTGTGCTGATTATTGTTGGTGCGCTAGGACTTATTAGAGAGGGAATGGAACAGAACTTAGGAAAGATCCCTGCAGCCAGTAACATTAATGAGCTGCAAAAGATTATCCTCCTAGGAAAGGCGCACATACTGAGGTTTCGGTCTATCAAATAAAAGAGTCCCCTGGCACCTCAGGACCAAGGATTATTGAGACTGAAAGAAGCAAATAATAGCACTGTAAACTATAATAACAATAATAATAACAAAAATAATAATAATAATAATAATAATAATAATAATTTGTAATAATGATAACAGTTTTTTTTATTATAAAGAACTTTATTACAATCCAGATCCTATTATAATAATATCAACAAGCACAAAGGTAATATTGAATTGTTATTGTAGTTGCTAAAATCTATTTACAATGGAATCTATAATTTTATATTTTTTACATAATGTCAATAACAATAGTAATTGTAATAATGATAAGAATAACAATGATAATATTAGTAATTAGTATAATTTCAGAACTGAGCAAAGAGTTTGCAGGAATCTGATTGGTTGAGTGGTTCCTTATATGACGCTATATAAACCACTCCGCGTGGTTTATATAAAATGTTAAAATAAAATGTTAATAAATGTTACCAAAATGTTATGATTTTAGAAATTTCTCTGTTGTTCAGCTCTGAAATTATACAAAACAACTATTCCCCCCAGGTTCGGTGAATACTGTAGAATAATCCCCTTGACTTCGTTTTAGGGATTATTCGACAATATTCACCTCGCATTCGGTGAATAATTGTTAATTATAATTATAATGATGATAATAATACCAATACTTCATAGTAAAAAACAATCTATACTTAAAAGAAAAAATGAAACAAAAAAAACCAAGAAATAAAATAACTTATTATGCAGTAACAGAGACCCTGCGTGTATGTTTACCTCTCAATGTCAACCTGTGGTGGATAAGGTACATGAACAATGCAATATAAAAAGGAACATAATATTAATTAAATGTCTATCAGGCGCCATATGGGACAATATTGTCAATGAATTTGTATTGGTTTTAACAAATATATTTGTACCATTACATAATATATTTATGCCTAATAAAATATACTTGTATCTATGCATGATATAATTAAAAATATATACGGCTATTGCCCAATAAAAATACATACGGCTAACACCCAATGAGAATGCGCCTGCTGATCAGCGGAGTTCATTGGGCTGATGGAGTGGGAGACCTGGGCCAGGGGTTAGCTACAAACAAAATGGCGGAGGGTAGTGGTCTGCAGGCGTTTTTTCTTGACTCGATTCCTTCGCTATTTCTTCAAGCACAGAGATAATCTTAATGTTTGAGAGTATTTTGAGTGTAGGTTATTAACCGGCCCTCAAAATAGGTGTCATCATTTAATAGGTGTAATCATTTAATAAATGATTCAGTGCTTTCAATAAGATTTGAAATAGGTGGCTACCTCGGTACAACATCCGCCGGAGAGCGACTTGATTGCGACTTAGCATGGCGACTGCGACTTGAGTGCGGTGAAATATACCCGGCGACTCGCAACAGAATAGCCGCTGGAGCTCCGGCAGGTGCCAGGTCTTATTGAAAGCACTGTGATTACACCTACGTCATTAGATCAGTTATTCTACAATGCGAAGAACAGAGGGCTAGCGAAGGCTTGATTCAGCTGTAAGATTAGTTGCATGCAGGAGTCTCTCACCACTTCTTTTCAAAATAAATTAGGTCTTTGGGAATGTCAAATCTTGGCCTGCCTGGCCTCGAAGACTATTCCAGTGGACATGAAAATCCCACTTCCGAAGCCAAATTTCTTTGAGCCTTGCATAGTTCTTGGAACTGACAATTTAAATCGTTGACTCCCGAGTGCAATGAATCTAACAGCTGAATCAAGCCTTCGCTAGCCCTCTGTTCTACACATTGTAGAATAAGTTATCTAATGACATAGGTGTAATCATTTCACCGGTGCTCAAAATACTCTAAAAGATTAAGATTATCATTGTGCCGGTGTCTCTGTGCTTGACAAAATAGTGAAGGAATCGAGTGAAGAAAAAAAGCCTCCAGACCACTACCCTCCGCCATTTTGTTTGTAGCTAACCCCTGACCCAGGTCTCCCACTCCATCAGCCCAATGAACTTTGCTGATCAGCAGGTGCAATCTCATTGGGCGTTAGCCATGTATATTTTTATTGGGCAATAGCTGTATAAATTTTTATTGGGCATTAGCCGTATATATTTTTCTTGGGCGTTAGCCGTATATATATTTATTTTTTTGAGCAATAGCTGTATATATCTTTATTGAGCAATAGCCGTATATATATTTTATTGAGCAATAGCCATATATATATTTTATTGGGCAATAGCCATATATATTTTTAATTATATCATGCAGAGATACAAGTATATTTTATTAGGCATAAATATATTATGTAATGGTACGAATATATTTGTTACAAAACCAATACAAATTCATTGACAATATTGTCCCATATGGCACCTGATAAGTGTCCAATGTATCTATAATAAATTGCCATGTACCTTGTAATTCATGATCTTGCTGTATGTTATCACCACTGAGTCAGCCTCAAATGGTGTCTGTCCACACAACATCTCAAAAGCAACGACACCAAGTGACCACCAATCACATTCCACTCCATATGGAACACCTGACCCATCCATACTGGTTAACACTTCAGGTGCAATGTACTCAGGAGTGCCGACTGGCATTTTACTGTGCACCTTTTTGCAAATACAATGTTTTTATGTTTTCAATCAAACAAGATAAAATTAATTACCAATTTAGCCAAAAGAGGGACCAATATTCTAGTGTGGCTGGGGAATGTTTTTTGCCAGAAATTAATTAAACATAATTATATCATTTACAGATAATTTATATTTACACACCACTGACCAAGCATGAGGTCAAGATGGCTGGATATCTTTCTTTTTGCATTTTAATAGTCCCAGACAAAGTCAAGGTAATTAATCAGCCAATATCCAACCATCTTGACCTGACAAGCTTGGTCAATAAAGGTTTATTATAAAGAAACAAGATTTTACTTATTACTAATCAAGAATAACTTGCTAGAGGGTTGTTTAATTTTTTCTTTGTTTGGACTGTATTCAGCCACTTTTTGTGACTTTGTCGCTGACATTGTTCAAACACTACAAATTTTGTAAGTCAACTTGGACTTTTCTTCTTGCATGGGATCAAAGTGGGCAGTCCCAAGCAGCCAAGATGGACTCATCTTGCCTGCTTATGTAGCCAATCAGAACACAGGATTTGCTCCATCTTGCTCACAAATGCTGCCATGTATATTTAATAAGTTGTAATATTCAATAACTATGACGGTCAAAACAACAATTGCATGGAGACAGTTAAAATTATTTCATTTTCAAAAATAAAAACTAGTCAACCTTCCAGAAAGGGCTTCCTTCATTGGACATTTCATACATATCAAACAATTTCTTTTCTTGCAAGGTTAATATAAAACTAGATACAACTTCATCTGCGTCCTAGAAAATCAGAAGTCTCAGTTGCAGAATTCAAAAATAAAACTGTTTAAAACCTATTGCCAGTAAATCCCTATCATTACATGTCACTGATGAAAAAAAGCAGTGCCTCTTCATTTGATAAATATATAGAGGATATTACATGAACACGCGGGGATATGAGTTTTATCTTCGAGTGCTGAAAGTATCTCTCACGAGTGAGCGCAGCGAACTCGTGAGATATACTTTCAGCAACAGAAGATAAAATTCGTATCCCCAAGCAGCCATGTAATCTCCTGTTTATTATATAGATACTGATGAAATTTCCACATAAAAGACAACTTTTTTTATTCATTTTTGAAATAGCAATTGGGTAATTATGTTAGTAACCATGACCACACCAATATCCTCGCACGTGAAAGATAAAAATAGTATCTTCACTGCGCGTGGTGAAGATATGATTTTTTAGTAAAAGGAGAAATCCTGGTATTTCATCAGTATCTATATAATAATTAACTTAATTAATAATTTTATTTATTTATTACATACCTTTTTGTCTGCAGAAAGTCTGGCTGATGAACCAAAATCTGCTAGTTTGATGTGTCCAGTTCGATCAATAAGGACATTGTCTGGCTTTATGTCCCTGGTAAACAAACAAAGTAAGTTTGTGCACGATCCTCCGTAAGTTTAAACTGTGTCTTCTGTCATAAATATTGTTAACTTACACTCAGATTACTATTACTAACAGTTTCTATGAAACACTCTGCTTATACCAGGCTGTCAGATTTATAATATACAGGTATATCATGATACTATCCCCAAGTATACAGTCAATCAAACTGAAATCTGTAATTTGTGAACAAAGAGAAGTCTGAGAATTTTGGCTTTGAGAATTTCTATCACCAGCAATAAGAAGAATTTTACCTGTGCACATAACCTAGTACATGAAGACTGTGAATAGCCATGACCATCTCAGCAAGATAAAACCGTGCAACATCTTCCTCTAGTACATCGTCATGCTTGCTTAACAAAGACAAAAGGTCTCCACCAGGGTGATATTCCATCACAAGATACAGGTTATTGATATCTTGGAAAGCATACTGCAGTGATGTTATCCAAGGATTGTTGCATAATGCCATTATTTCTCTTTCTTCATCATAGAAGGCAACCTTTTGATAAAAGATCAGGGGTACAGAATAAGTTCTAAAAAAGGAAAAGGGTTAGGTTAGGTAAAATATTTAGCAACAATTTAAGATCACAGATTCTTAACATGAACAAAATAAGTAGAAAGTGAATCTTCAATAGCTCCAGAAGTACACATACCAGACTGTAAAGGCTACAAATAATAAACTGTGAATTATTTACCAAAGTGGGGGTAAATAGTGGTGAATATTTACCAAGTCTTGAAGTAGCAAGATAAATATCCACCACTTTCACTGAGGTGAATAATTGTTTTAGTAATACCATACAGATACTGAAAAATTAGTTTTTAATTCATTTACTATACTGAAAAGTGGTTGGAAATTAAACAATGGATGCACCATTTTGTCTTTTACTGCTGCTCTGAGGTGAACAGTACTTGCTATTTATTTCCAAATTAGCCCATCAGCTCACGTAAAAAGCATTATTCGCCAGTGTGGTAGAGTGTATATATATAATAATGATGTAATGCAGCTTACAAAGAAGCTGTTTTCTTGTGCTGTTCTCCTTGTACTTTTTAAATAATTTGATAATGATAAAATATTAATTATGATAAATTGGTGTCACAGCAGATGGCTGTATGATTTTAAATTTTGAACACTAAATTTTAGAATACAGCAATTGTAACTAAGGGCAAGAACTTCTTCACTCAACACCAAGAGATGATTCCCACTCTATGAATATGCACATCAATAAAATAATTAAGAGGAAATTTCAAACATATTCTGTCAGGGGTGTTTTGGATAAAGTACATGTAGTTAAGCATCAAGGGCTGTTGAAGACATTTGTTGTCTGCTTGGTAATGCTAATACCAGTAGTTCATCTTTATACTCACACTTTCTTGAGCCAGCGTTTGACTCTTCTTCAATGTTTTCATGGCAAACACATCCCCACCTTGTTTGTCTTTGACAACTTGAACCTGTTTTAATTCACTTTAATTCTTAATTGTTGATATTTTTCTATCACTATCATTGTAAAACGCCGCTGGATCTTTGAGAAGCGTTGCGCTATATAAGCTATGAATTGTACTGTATTGTATTTTAAAGTTTGAAAAAAAAAAAACTAGCTGCATGTTTCATCCTATCAATAACTTTACAAAATAGCCTAATCCAATATTTTAATTCAAATATAAAATTAAAACAGTATCCAAGCAAATATACTGTTCATGTGCGTTTGAGATATCATTGGGCAGATATTGAACTATAAATAGAAATTTTTAAATTTTCGAAGGGTCCAAAACATTTATGGAATTTCGTACGGTTACTTCCCAAAAGCAAATTCAGCTTTCGTTGCAATTTTAACGTCTCATGGAAACCTTCAAACGTCGAAATAGATTTAATTTCCTCGAATTCACTTCTAACATCGAAATCGATCGGTTATTAAAACTAAATGTAATATTTAACCAAACCTGTCCAAAATGCCCTCTGCCAATGATATTCAAAACCTCGAAATCCTCTTTACTCAAGCAAATTTTTCGAAGATCATCAACCATAGGCTGGTCTAAGGAATAAAGGATAGGAGTGAAAGCTAAATGAAATGATATCATGGGCCTAAAACATTACCACTGGATAGTTATACGTACATGTAATTAGGAACATATTTGTAGATTCCCACAGATTATTCACACGCCAATTTTTTGACAAGAAAAAAACCATTATATCCTAGATAATGAAACCTGATGCATTAACACAACATCACGATGCAGAAAATACTCTAGTAATCTCAGAGGGCTAGCTAAACACTCTTATAGAGACTTACAGACCAGGGACGACACCTATATGGGCATAAATGTCAAAGCAAAGCAACAAATCCTCACCATTCCAAACCAGAATTCTCGATTAGATATCCATGAGAAACACAACCGTGGAAAGGGATTTCTTGATTTACACTTACATTTCTTAACAAATCCAGAGATATTCTTGTCCTTGAGCATACACGCCGAGTTACATTCATCGAAGAGAAGGAGAAACGCATCCAAAAGTGCTTCGCGGGTGAAAGTTCCGCACGACTTTCGACCAACATTCTTTCCGGCAAAAATCTGGTTGAGTTTCGCACAACGAGTTGAAATTGAATCAGCCATTTCTTTACAAATATCAATCAGAACACCAGAAAAGTTAACTATTCAGTCCGAAGGAAAAAAAAACCGGCCGACAAATTTCAGGAAACAATAATTATTGAATCCCGTTGAAAATGACAAACTAAACCGTTTGCATACCAGAATCTGCGCCGGCAAACATACCAGCGGAAATTCGCTAAGCGATTTCTTATTGGTGTAGAATGTCATTATGAGTGGTCTGATTGGTTGACTGTCAGAAGAGAGCGAACTTCGAAACGTTTGCGGGTTAGCAGGTTTGTTTACAAAAATGTGGTAAAACTTCGGGAAATTTTGAAGTTTGTCTAGTTGAACATAAAAGTTAATTATTCAGAAATCGGTTAAAAAACAAACAAATGGCGGCTTTTTGTCTGGAATTTTACTGGACCCATGGTCTTCCATCGCAAGCTAAAACAAATATTGGGGAAGAGTAGACAGCTATTTTTAGACTCCCAGAGTTATAGTGAAACGGTAGGATCTGGGTACGAGAATGCTCCCCTTAAGGAGTGAGGATTATTATGAATCATTAGAGACGTTTCACTGTATTTTGCTTTGGTTTTTAGCTGTTGTAAGCTTGCCTCATTCATCTTCCTGAAAGTAGAAACGTTCAGAAAGAATAAGAATCTCCCGAACGAAAAGCTGCGTCAATCAGCTGGAAAAATCTCAAGTGGGAATGGCAGGGGCCGGGGCACCGCCTGAACACAAGAGCATCCCTCGGGTATCCCTTCGGACTGGGTATCGCTATTCCACATGTCATTTATGAATACCTGCATTTCCGTTCTTAATTCATAATAATCCTCACTCCGAAAGGGGAGCGTTCTCGTACCCAGATCCTACCACAACAGCTGATAGCTGCCGATGCAACTATTACTTTGTAATTTTTGTAATTTTTAACCTGCTTTTAACTTGCTTTATCAAATTAATAGCTTTAGAGTTAAAATATAAGGAGTAAAGGAGTGTTTGCCAGCAAAATAGGAGGGTCCCCAGTAGCTTTTTCGGGATCCGGGATGGGGCTAGTTTGATGGCTGGGATCTTGGATTTAAAAGGGGAACAAGACACGGAGTATTATTATGAACGAGACACGGTAATCTGCGATTTTGAGGGGTGGGATTCGGGAAATAATTACAGAAACGAACCGAGAACCGGGATGTCCGTTGACGAGAATTTATGACGAAATTGATCTACTAGTTTCACTTCTCCCTTCAAACGCTTAAGTGAAACGCGATTTCCTAAAAACACTTGCATGGAAGGCCAAAAAAAGCTACTCAAAGATTGTTACAGGCCTGAATTTGTTATGACAGTCTTTTCTGCGCATGTGTCAGGGACACGGCCTTTGCCCTGCGCTGTTGTTTTCATTGCGACCCTTTGGTGATACATGGACGTTCTGAGCCGTGCCCTGTCCTGTAATGGTGACCTTTGATTTCTTGGTGACCGACCAATTTACCTCTATCAGAGAGAATTTCAGCCGGGTGAACAGGTAAGCCTCGAACGCTCTGACTCTGATGAGGAGCAGCAAGAACTTCTGAACAGCGGGCCACAACAACAACAACAACAACAATTGTCCTGCTAGGCATTTCCCCACCTCCTTGCCCTGTCGGCTGAAACTTATGCAGTAGTCTTTAGCCCCTCCCCCCCCGCTCAAAAATTTGCTCAACTGGCCCCGAGGAGGTCGTTACCGTGACTAGCGGCGTACGTTATTCGTGCAAAACTTGAAAAATTCTAAAATGAACAATATCATTACTTTTGTACAAAATAGAAAAGTAAAGTAAAAATAAAAATATCACCCATCGAAAAGGCCCTTCTTAGTTAAGATAATATACCAAGAAAAATATTTATGATCGGAATTTGGATTGGCCGGTATAATCCTTCGGCCCGACGGGATGGAGAGAAAATTTTGGTGAAGAGTGCGGGATTGAAGACGCTACTGGGGACCCTCAAATACTTCAGGCCCTTTGGCTAGCGTTGTCATATATTATAATAGGTTTATTCAATATCATCAGTTTTGGCAATACAAGTATTGAAAAACGACTGATTTACAAGCATACTCAATAATAGCAGATAATAAGTATGATGCACGATCCTCGCAGTAGAGAGCGCTATTTATGCAATAGCGAAAATCAGACCTGAAAAAAATCAGGCCTGTACGGGATTCGAACCACTGACCTCTGCGATACTAGTGCAGCGCTCTACCAATTGAGCTAACAAGCCAACTGGGAGCAGGCCGTTAAGTTGATTCGTAATAAACCCGTGATGATAAACTTCAGTATTGGTGTTTATTTCCCTTGACTGTCTGTCAGCTGCTTCATTACATTTTCCTGCAATGTGTTGTGCAGAAATCCAGATGTTTTTAGCCATGCACCAACTCCAGATATCTGAAGCCACTTTGTTACATTTTACAGAGTGATTAGTGCCCATGTTATTTATTGCTGCCACTGCTGTTGTATTATCAATTTTCAGTCTGATATGTTTATTATTTAGATTTGTCACAAAAGCTTGAAGTGAAAAGAATGCAGCCATTAACTCAAGGTAGTTGATATGCTCTTCAGCTTGTTGGGGTGTCCAGTGGCTCCCATAAGTCACATCATTGAAAACACCTCCCCACCCAATTTTTGATCCTAATTGTTAAAGATGGAGGGTCATGATTTATGACATTGAATGAGTTCTCAATGTTTTTGATCCACCATTGTAGTTCTGTTTTGGCATCTGTGGAGAGTGACATAAAAGCCTTATAGTTGCCATTATCGTCTTTGATAGCATGTGATTTCTCTTGTTATAGTTGTATGTAATAAAATAGCCCATACATAACTGCAGGGAAACTTGAGACAAGTAGTTGTAGGATACTTGCAACCTCTCTTATACTGTATTTTGACCTCTCTTGCAGTGCTGTGCATGCATTCTTAATTTTTGTTTTTTCTCTATGGTCAGTCTGACAGTCATTGTGACGGAGTTTAACACAACTCCAAGAAAAACAACTTCTTGGGATGGTATCAGACATGATTTTTCAGGGTGGGCACAAAATCTCAGGTTAACAAACAGCTTTAATGTTTCAAGCACAGTAGTTAGACATTCGGTATAAGTATCACCCTGAATGTAATTGTCATCAATATAAGCTGCCAAGATGTGGCCTTGTAACCTAAGACAAGAGTGGACTGGCTTCATGAGCTTCGTAAATTTCCTAGGGCAAAAACATAGCCCATTAGGAAAACAGGTAAACTTGTAGAAGTTTCCTTTCCTGTAAAATTTGAGATATTTTGGTGTTTCTCCGATACTGGCACCGAGTAGTAGGCATCCTTGAGGTCAATAGTGGCCATGAAACAATTTGGTCGCATAAGTTTAATCACAGAACTAAGAGTATCCATTTTGAAATGGTGATAAACAATGCTCTTGTTAAGTGCTTTAAGATTTAAAATCATACCGTGTGATCCTTCTTTCTTTTCCCTCTGAAATATGGGGGAAATAAAACCACCAGTTTCGCGGTCAGTTCTGACAATCACGCCTTTGTTTAAAAACTTTTCGATCTCAATCTCAATTAATTGTGACACAGCATCTGAGAAATCTCGAATGGCCGGTGGCCTATGTTGGACTGGCGCGTACTTAACGTCAATGGTTGTACCAGTTATCATATCTAAAATTTCACCATCAGATGTAATGGTTCTCCAGTTGGAAAGGAAACTAGTAAGGTTACCTGCTTTAAAGCATTTCAAACTTTGCTCTAAGCCTGTAATGATAACTGGTAATAGGGTTTAAAATTTACTTACATCATGAATAACTGTTTGTAATGTGGAAGTTTGGTTCACTTGGAGTCCTCTCTCTTCTGGTTTGAGGCCCATGGTTTCTTTTTGAACGTGTTGTAGCTCTTGCGATGCCTTAAAAAGGTGTAGTCGCTAATTTCACACTTTATTTCTTAGCTCACAATCGAGATAAATTTTATGATTCGAATGTATGAGCCTTTGGAATCCGCAAAACGCTAACTGAAAACTTCAACAACCAACATGTCTGACTCAAAAAAAAAAAACGTTCCACGTGTTTTCTCCTCTCTCGCTATGCCTTATGGGAGGCACAGGCCTCCCAACACTAAAAGCAACAAATTCCCCCTTTTTTTGTAATGTTCAACAAAAAGGTAACAACATTCCACCCCCCACGAATGCTCATGTTTAAGGGCCAGTTCATAGTGAATCGTTTTGTCTCTTAGACTTTCAGTTTACTAAGCTTCTCCAGAGTCTGATTCTTCCAGCAAACAAATCTTGGTGATTGGCCTTGGGTGTGTTGAGCCTTTGGTCCTCACTTCTACACTCCTAACCAGTCCGTCGGGTCCAGGAAACACATTGCTTACTAGTCCGAGTGGCCACTGATGTCGTGGGACGTTATCATCAGCAATAAGGACTAACTCTCCAATTTTCAAGTTCCTTTGGGCTTTGTGCCACTTCTGGCGTTCTTGTAGTGAGGGGATGTATTCCCTGAGCCAACGCCTCCAATAATGGTTAGCCAGTAGCTGTGCCTGGCGCAATCGCTCTCGACTAAACTTGTCACTGTCATCAACCACTTCTGGAGGTAGGTTCACTGTGGGACGAATGTTTAAGAAATGGCTGGGTGTGAGAGGCTCAAGCCTGATGAATTTCTTGTCAATGGTCTGGAGTTAGCAACTCGTACAGCTTCCGTAAACACTGTTTGGAGTACTTCTTCGTTGATAAGGTCTTTTCCAAAAATAGCCTTCAGGCTCCTCTTTACAGTTTTCACAAGTCTTTCCCAAACTCCAGACATGTGTGATGCCCCTGGAGGGTGAAACACCCACTTACAGCCACGCTGTGAGAACTCTCTACCCACTTTCTCATTGTCTATTTCATCAATAGCCTCTTTAATCTCCCGATCAGCCCCAACAAAGTTCGATCCATTATCGGAGCGAAGCTCCTTCACACATGTCCCCTTCGATTTAGAAATCTCATCAGCAGCAAGATGAAGTAATCTGTTTCCAGGGACCTGGCAACCTCGAGATGCACGGCTCGAGAATTCATACATACAAAGATGACGCCCCATCGCTTCTCTGCAACTTTTCCTCTTCCTCTCTTCACGTAAAAGGGGCCAAAATAGTCAACACCGGA